TCCGTTATAAAGAGAAAAAATTATTTTATATTATTTCTGTTTTTATTCTAAGTGGCATACATTATGATGTTGGCTGTCTTGCAGATCGAATTACAGTCTTTTTCTGATGTATGGTTCCAATAAATTATGTGATTTACTTGTCACAAGTTACTTTTAAGAGAATGTTTACATATACAGCTCTATAATGGCACCTTCCTAAATTGTTTTTGCTAACCAAACATAAGTTTTCTGATGCTCAAGTTTTTGTGTTCGATTCTCTCAGCGGTAAGTGTCAAATTATATTCCCACGGCAGGGACTCTCGCACCACAAGTCATCTGTAGATCAAATGCTTTGCTCTACGCCAGTGAGATTGTAATGCTGTAGCAGCAAGTTCTTAACAAACGCTTACTCTTCTTCATCTTAAACAGTGTCTCTGGGCCATCAGGCTTCTCTTCCATGTGGTTTGATGTTTTTTTGTCATTGGCATATTAATTTCCTGTCTGAGTTCTTCATTCGAAAAGTTATCATAACACAAACAATGGGGGTTTCATAAAATTTTTCATACTGACGCTTCTCAGCTATACCGTATTTATCCAATCAGAGCCTATCGACTTAACAATGAAGCAAAGCTACCCACACAAGATGGCCCTTGAATATCCGCACAAATTTGTTCTGTGATATTTGAAGCTGAAAGCAAAAAATTGTTTGCGCGTAAATCGAATCCTGTACAAAAATTTCCGCGATGCTTCAACTTTACTATTTTCTCAGTATCGCACGATTATATATGCACTTACTGTGATTTTTCCTTGGTTGAAATTAGCCAGCCAGTTAGCCGAAGGTATAAAAATGTCACAATTTAACTTCTTGATTTCTAGAAAATGCATGTAAAAAGTTAATGCGTAAGCAGGGGTAAGCTTCTGGAATCCAAGTACATAGGCGCATAGCTCTTTGCACTCTTGCAACCTTATGCGCACATGCAAGATCTTACTCACGCTTACAGAAGACCATGATTAACCGCTGCAATCTGAAATCGGGCGTCGACGTGACATGACCAATGCCTGGTGTCAGTCGGCCTTGCAGAAGCATTTGGAAAAAGGCACTCCAAATTTTGGGGTTTGCTCTCAAGGAATACCAGAGTGACGTTACCTAACACCAAACTCTGATGAAACATTTTTGGATAACAGCAAGCTATACATTGAGCGGCAGGCTTTCATTCCTCATAGAAGTGCAAAAACAAACAAAAAACTTGAAAATCGTTAGTTTACGGCAAAAGTTACAAAAGCAAAAAAACACCCATGCAACTCCTTTACAAAAAGAGAGTCCCTCTAATTGTTGAAACAGGAACCTGCCTTTGGTCCCTGCCTAAAACATTGTGAAAATTTATGGGCGTCAAAACGCTATTTTTGCTTAAAAAGTGCATAATTAAAAGTTCTTCCTTGTGGTACATCTCGAATTTTGTGTTTTCTTTTCATGCGAGATTGAAGCTTGACACAATAATGTACAAGCTACTCTAAAAATTTCTACAAACTGGGCTAACTAGCAGCACTGCAGTATTTTCCGCGGAACTCAAAATCACAAAATTCGAAGTATTTTTTTCGCGTGACTCTTCGAGTCTAATAAGAAAAATTTGCTGTACACTTGTACGTGCCAATTCAATATGTTTCAAAAAGTTTTTATGAGTACTCGCAATGCCGTTGATACGTTGCTATGAGGTAGTGAGCAGAGCAATAATAGATTTATCGTAATATACTTAACATTGCAAGTGTTGTTCGTGAGAGCATTTACAAGTATTTCTGAAGGATAATTAGTAAATACAGGATGTGTTTTTGGAAGTAGAGATCAGAAGTGAGCATCGAATGATATTTGTTTCGATGCAGTCCTAGTGGCGCCATCGATAAGTGTCTTTGTCTTGTTAGCCTCGATCTTCAGTATTAAAAGCCATCCTAAAACCCTTCTTTTCTCATTAATCACGTCCCAAATCAAATCTGCACCCTATAATCCTGCCTGCATAAAAGCGCAATCAAATAGAATCATAAAAGCTTTGTTCTTGACTGATAACCTTTGGCTCTTCCCGAATATGAAGCGATTTATTCTAAAGTGATATTTTGAGTGATATTATTGACCCTTATCGTGCATTACCCGTGGCACTTTAAAAACATCCTCGCCCATGCTAGGCTCAAAGGTTTTTTCGTAAGCAATTAGCTGATTGCGAAAAATCACGTAATTATGCGAAATTTCTTGAAGAGAAACTCTGGGTACTTCAAAATCTGCACAAAAAGCGAGACAGAAGAAGTGCAGCTTAAATGCTGCCCAAAGGAGTCGCATCGCCTTTCAGACACACTTCAGCTGTTCTATAGTGCTATACTGAATGCTGCTTACTACACTTTTTCGATCAAAATCTAGCTTCGCTCTCAGGACCCATTCTGCCTTATAATGCTACGAAAGTTGTGAAAGTGTTTAATGAAGGGGCATTGCCATCTACAGCATGTATCACTAATCCTGCTATGTAATTGAATGTGAAGCAGCGATAGTTCATCAGATGCAATGTCATTTTGATTTTACGCGATAAATGACACAATCACTGGCTTATGGTGAACAACGAAAGAGAAACTCTTCTGATAACTTAAGCAAAATAGCATGCTGCGCATCATATCAAGGAATTGCAATGATATCCGTTGCTAAGGTACACAGTTTTGATGAGACACGACCAGGATAGTCACATTTGTAGCTTTTGCGGAGCGAGTCTATTAATCTTCTTTTTGAGGTGTGAAACAGACCGCAGCTCCTAAATCTGTTTTGCAAGAATCTCAAGTTATCTAACATGGATTTGGAGTCTTGTATGGCTAATGCTGGAAATGTCTTAACTTCTAGTAGGTGAGTTTTCATTACAAGACCCACTTATTGACCCACCAATGCACTGCTTCAAGTATAAAGAGTTGATTCATTTGAAACTAATGAATGTTCCAAGAATTCTGTTCTATTTTTGGTTGCGTTGATTTGACGCAGCTATTTCTCAGACTTTTGCATTTATTGCAGTGTTGTGAATCGCTCAAAAGCACTTTTTCTTCTCTAACCAATGCTCACTAATTCTCGATTATAGCTTCGCAGTGATGAAATTTCAAGCCCCAAAGTTAAGGTACCAAAATGCAGTCAAGCTTTATAAAAGGTTTTATGGAGCGAATTTCCGTAGTGCTCGTAAATTCATCTATCAAATATATTATATAGAATAAGGATGTAATGACCTAACCTATGCACACTTTACCTTCCACATGAAAGGGGCTTACTATGAGCCTAAAAGTTGTTAAAATAGGTTACCAAGTACTCGACATTGTGACAGGGAAAATGATAACCATTACGCAGTGCTCCTCTATCGCCCTTACGGTAAATATTGCATTTGACAGGTTTCTTACTAAGACGCAAGTCATGGGGGGTCGTATCTGGCGGTTGCGTGCCACCTCTCCTGCTCAACCCTGGTTAGTAGTGAGCCTAATCGTCCCTTGCTGACCATTTACATCACACTACTTTTTCTTATTATTGAAAGAGTTAATCTATACCTGGATCATACGTATCAGAATATGACCAAATGTGTTCAGACCGATGTTCGCTACCGTATTTCTATTAACGACAATGATTGGCATCATCACTAATTTTATGCTGCTATTCGTAATAGTGTGGCATTGGAAGAAATCGTTTCATTCCCAGGTATTTCCCTATCTTCCTCATCATTTATACTCAATTCTTTTTTTTAGAAGTTCACCCTCTTTGTGCTCAACATGATTGCATCAGGGTTGCTACTTACTCTGACTAATCTCTATGTGTCTGTTCCATGCACTCTTAATGATTGCCCTTTTATCAAGTTCGTTAGTTTCATTGATTCTGTAATATCTACCGTTTGCAACAAAGTCACTAGATCCCTCCTGGGCTATCGAAGATTTGATCATGCTTTTTGCATTTCCCTCACCCTGAAGTTCTGCCCGGCATGTGCAGCCGCTGCTGGACGCGGTTAGAGCCAGAAATGGATATGCGTTCTGCTGCTGATCATGAGAACAGTGCGGTAAATATAAAGAGTACCTGCTAAGGAGATTTCGAGTCGCATGGGATTTGGAACAAAATGCATATTATTAGTTGCTTGTTGTTGAACTGATTTCACACCGAATCTTATCAGCTGAGCGGCTTTCCAAAAGCAATGAACGTCGATCCACATATGACGAACATTCAGAATTATCGATTGTAAGGGATGTTACCCTATAGGCGAGCAAAGAGCAAGGACAGGACAGAAAATGTTTATCAGTAAACAAAAAAACAAAACAATACGGGACGCCACCGTTCCGTGACATAGGAACACCAAACATAAAGACGAGATCTGGCCTGCGGCTTCGCGGAGCTCCCTGCCGTCCGATAGCGCGCCTTTGATCGCCTTTGATCTAAATCTAATTCGTTTTGGTGGCCTGACACGATGAATGTTTGCATTTCTTGCAGTCAGTTCACTATCATGTTCATCATGCAATACATAAGTGGATTTAGAAAAATATGCGTTAGAACGACAACTCTTCACATTTCTGAATGCTCACAACTTCTCTTGGAGAATGTTTAGCCAACATAGAGGGTAGATCTGGAATCAGCTCACCAAAACCCCGCTCGGCTTGAATCCTTCCCTTGTTAAATTAAACCCAAACCTTTTTTTGTCGTTTAAGCTGCGAATTATGGCGCATACTTTGTATTTCAATTGATGAAAGTTCGTTTCCGAAGCAGACAGAAAAACTTGTTGAAAAAGACGGCGGGTGGTTCAAACGGAGTTGCTTTGATGTAATCATGCCCTTGTGGATAAGAAAGCATCAGAGCGTAAGGCTGTTAATTAAGGAGTACCTATAAGGCCTTGTGACATGAAGTAGCATCAAAAGAGTTTTTTTGAGATTTATTTTTCAAGCAACATATCTGCAAATTGATGATCCTATATCATTGAAGTCTATATCTCCGCTAAAGAACAAGCTCAAAACAATTCTTTAGAACCGATACAGCTATGGTTATCCTGGCCTCTCCGAATACATTGGGACACTGGGGTTATCTACTTTCCTCGTTTGCACTAACAATATACCGTTTTGGGCTTTTCTTGTCGAAAAAATTCGAGGAGAAGAAACTTTGTGTTAAGGTCAGCTTGGTTATTGTCAAATGCAGAGAAGTTTAGAGCAGTTTTTCTGACATGCATATTCTTAAAATTTCATAGGACATATGCAGTCTTATTCTTGATCTGTTGATGCTGTTAAGAAAGTCGTGTTTCTGAGCACAGCATTAGCTTTGAAGTCTATGAATTTATGTATTGTAGGTTCTACTAATCGGACCATGGCTGCTGGCATCCATAATTACGTGGGGCACCACAGCTTTGAAATGTCTTAAAAGATTCAATCGTCACTCTTTGGGTTACACATTCGATTGTTCAAGTTGCGAAACCCTATTTTGTAAGTCTTTACCTTTATGTGAAACTGTTTTGATCAGATAACTCTTCAGTTGGTTTCTCCTTTCTCGATTTCGACTTGTACACGGGACTGGCTATACCACTTATTATGGCAGCGACTTATGCCATGATAATCTTCAGTATCCATCACAGTCGCAGCGCTCATAGAGTCTCAAGTCAATCACTTGAGAAAAAACTCGTTAGCCTTGTCACTCGAAAGGTTTTCTATAGCTTGGAAGCAGCACATTTAGGCATCACAATACTTGGTTATATGCTGCTCACAGTTTCTGGCCACATTTTCATTTTATGTCATTCCAAAAATAGGAAATGGGAGTGACTGGAGTACTCTTGCGCTCAATAGCGTAGGTTGGTCGATTTTCAAGTTTCTTCTTTATCATGAGAGCTTTGTAGTTAGATTTTATGACGAAAAATTAAGATCAACTTGCAAAGGCCTAAAAAATAGTGTTGACATTTTCATTTAAAAAATTAAATAGAGTGTAATACAAACCAGAAAGTTTTATTAAACTTCACATAAAACATTACAAGCGAGAGCAAGTTTACATAAGACTCATAACAGGTGTGTCATATCAAAAAGAAACAAAAGCTTTCGGGGTTTGCTATCTCAGCTTTTTGAAATCAAGTAGTGTGTGCTTTCTCCATTACATCTCCAACAAAACGACAAGTGGAAAGGTTAAGAACCATGCTATTCATACCGTCTGCCGCTTACACAAGCAGCGCAAGAATTACCAGAAAGGGGAGAAGGTAAGGGAAGTCAGAATTGACCGTGTACATCCCCATGTCCAGTTGGTCAAACTTCTTTACTTTAAGAGACTCGCTTTGTACACGTTGTCAAAGTCCCTGACTGCGTACATAACTTTGCTTAAGACTTACAGAACATTTATGCTTGTTGGAATCAACAAGCAAATAAATGTTAGTTCAAAAGTTTGTTCAAGCTGTTTTCGATATTTCGCAAGTTCCTCTCTTTATGAACTCTTGGCATTGTCTAACCAGAGAAGTGTGCTCTGTGATAACCCTTAGCGTCTCATTGCCAAGCACAAACTGCAGAGATAAAAAAATGTTTGCATTGATAATTTAGGCAGCCGCAAATAATCTGCAAACATTGTGAATTTGCGATAGCTGATAACTTGTCTCATCTGATTTACAAGAGGTTTAATGACCTTTCTTGCACTCAAAATTACAGTTAAAGTGAGATCGCAAAGCATGCACTATGTTTGCACACACTTCATATCATTAATCGTTCTAATAACCATAATTAAGACTCGAAAAAAAAACGCAGGGAAAACTATTTGACGTATCACTGCAGGAACGTATCTTTTGCAGTCTCACGGTGAGAACAATCCAAACAACTGATTCAGGCCCCATCAACGTCTCAGTCAATCCGTGCGTATTACTTCTTTTCAATGAAAAGGTTCGTGCAAGTGCTGTCATCATATTACGAAGATGTTATAAGCTCCTGCAAGACGAAGGCGGTCGGTTCGATGTGCAACGCGGCTGCGATATGGCTGCGTCACAGCAGCGTCACAGCCGCGTCACAGCCACGTCGCACCTCGACACCAACCGCCTTCGTCTTGCAGGAGCTTATACATGAGCATCGCTGCTTCGTGACCCTTCGGAACACCAGGCAATGGCGTGAAGATGTCACATGTATGATGTGTGGATGTTTGACTTAACAGTCATCTTTTGGCTTTCAATAAATACTTTGTCTGAGTGTAATTATCCGTATAACACGAACAGTGCTTGTGTGGATGCCCCGAAAGCTAAAAAAGGATAACGGGATTGATGTGACGAGATTTTGTGTCATTTTCTGATAAAAATAGGGCTCTCAACTTAAGCCTAAAAATTGTTGTGACAACCTGCAAGTCTGTACGACTGCAAATTTTTGAGCACTTATCTTGGTTTTTGTCGGTCCACAGACTTTTAGAGCCCGCAAATATTCTCAACAGTGTTCAATTCCAACCGGGGTCAAGGGTGTGATGCGACTGCCGCAATGGGGGGGGGGGTCGTAAAGGGGATACCTGCGGTGGGCAGGCGGGTCGTAAGAGGGGGCAGTTTGGATTAAAAAAAGGGCCTGAAAGAAAATCGAGTAGCGGTTTCACTAAAGATTCTTTGCAGTTTATTCATAGGATGTTGTGTATCAATTAAGTGATTAAAGAAGTGATTAGGTGGGATTGAACCTGCTGGATTAGAGTATAACATCCAAAACATTTCGAAAAGCTCATAACAAAGGAACGCATCTGACAAGGATGCTGAATGCACCAATTGACTTGAAATTTCTGATTTTCTAGCCTCACTGAAGCATCACACAATCTACGAAAGCTTATATCTCTACTAACCATAACCATCAATAATTTATAAATCTTTTTGTAATGCTTTTAAAACCCATAGAAACCTGTACTTGATAGGATCGCATTTGAATTTGCAAGACTCGCATCTAGACTTTTTCGAGCTCACTGCTCCACAATGGATGAAACTTCTTTCACGGATAGTCTGGGCACTGTACTAAAGGATATCCATCGACGACCGCCCCGTTTTGTGCGTTCACACCACGGCGCGTGAGCGTTTCTGGAACCTCTCCAGCTTTCCAGTGCGCTGCAACGTGCGGGGAGTTTGCGGCTCACACTATTTCTATCCTATAACCTCCTCTAGTATCTAGGCATTTCTCGTTCCACTTTCTTCTTGATTTTCATTTCACACACTTAGTCGTCCCTCCCCTCGCGAATATTAGAGATACAACGATGTGTATTGAGGCAATGGAAAAGTGAGTTTCAATACTCGCAGTAACTGTCATAGTTAGGGATGCATGTTCTCGGTGTGAACAGTTTTTCATTTCTCTTAGATCGAACCACTCAAGGGTTCATATCAGTGCTTATCAAGTAAAGAGAATTGAAATAGGGAAATTTTGAGGTAAATGGCAGATCAATTTGAAACAAAGACGCATAGTCCCTGTTATAGCCACGATAGCTGTCACTGCAGCTATATAACCACCAGTAGCGTACTCAGGACTTCGGGACCCACAACCCCGAAAAACATTTTTCATAAGGCTAAATTGAATTTTTGAAAAATTTTAAAAAATTTTAATTACTTACAAGTATAAATAAGTCTGACCTCTTGCACATTTTAATGACTCATGTAAGTAACTTTCAAAAATTTCGCGACACATTAGGAAAAGGGTGGTTGGTTATCAGTGCCCCCCCCCCTCGGTACGCCACTGATATCCAACCTTTCCCTAACTTCGCCTGAGGCGGGTCTCATATGGACATCTACGAGAAAATCTGTGATCTGATTCGCGTTCAAGATGTTTTGCGTTTACTACATCATACTTTACTATCGATAGCGGTGAGGGGAGGGTTGAAAAAGTGCCTGAATCGAAACTAATAAGGAAAGGATGCTAACTTACAATGGAAGGATAACTGATGGCCGTGGCCGTTATGTAAACATCGAAATACTTTCCTTGAAACGCTGATCTCGAAATTATTTCGTTAGCTGCAGAACCCCTTTCCGAAAAGAATTAGCACTTGTGAAAGCGCTAACACGAAAACTTTTGCCCCGACCGAGATCAAACGAGCATCCGTTGTCCAGTAATCGACAGCGCTGACCAGTAGACTATTCGCGACGCGACCTTAGCACCTTTCGGATTTACTCGTACTTTTGTGCAAACACGTCAAATAAGGGGAAATACGGTTTTTCTGAAATATTGTTCTGCAGACAACGAATACGTTTTGTTATCACCGTTTCATGGCGAATGTCATAACTATCACATACCGAAAGGCCACTGCCACTAAGTACCCTCTCCACGTTGGATTCGCCTTCCAGAATAAAACACATAAAATACTTGGAATCAGCTTGGCAATTTCAAATATGCTGTTCCTAGCTGATGAACGTCAATCAGCAGCGCGTTATGAGCTTGCTATCGTGAGTAATTGGCGTACTTCGGATATGGGAAGACGGCCTCTAAATAGGAATCTGCTTAAAAATATAGGATGTTGAAGTAGCATCAGATTAAGTCTATAGATCTTAAAAGGGAGCGTTATACAACTGCAAAAACCTAGATGTCGCACCATAGCATCAAAAAGTCGATGAGTACGCAAATTTTGAACAGAAAAGGGATCTTAACTCGCTCCAGAATGACGCTCAACAGTTAGGAACAGGATGTTTGGAATCAGCGTTCGAAGCTTATTCCAAATTATTATCTCATCGTAAAAGACAAGTCTTAGTTGTTATCCTTCCCTTTAAGCAGAAACAGAGGAGAAATACCTCAATAACAAAGGAGGTTATAGGACAGGGATACTGCGAGCAGCAGGTTCCCGGTGCGCTGCGGCCTGTTAAGCTGGAAAGGTTCTAAAAAAGCACGCCCGCGGTGGTGTGAATGCACGAAAAGGGGCGGTCTTTACGAATATTCTTTACATAGCATGTCCACTGCAGCCTGTCAACCTTTCTCTAACCTTAGCTACGAATTTCCAAAGTACCGTGCTCGTGCACGTTTCTGGCATCGTTCTGGAAGGCGCTAAATCGGTTTCAGCAGGAAAATGTGAGCAGCAGGAAAATAAGTTTAGTCGAAAACAATCTTTATGCTTCAAAAATATCACTTTTTCTCCTTGCAAAAAATGGTGTCGCAAATGGGGATAAAATTCAAGACTGTCACTATAGTCTGAAGCGCTCGAATTGAACCATAGTGAATGTCAACATTCAGTAAAGCATGAGAATTCATGCCAAACGATTTATGATTTATGCTCATAAACAGAAGGATTTCTTATCTGTAATTAGGAAATGAATTATTTCAAAATAATCAACTATAATGACTAAAGTGAACCGTTGCGTAATCCTGAATTTTTCTTAGCTGTTATTTCATTCCAATTTTCTACATCTAGGATAAGTACGTGCGATTAGAGGTATAACATTAAAATCAATGTCCTCCTTTGTCAACTAATATTCTTTCCCCCTTTTCGACCACGATACAGCATAGCCAAATCTTTGTAGAACTTTACCACTTAACCAAGCTACGCAGAACTATTTTGTGGGTTTTTGAGTAATTGAGCATTACTTGCATTATTTTCGAAGTTTAAGTGATTATATTTCCCTGACCTGTGTTTTTGATTAAGGTTCATTGTCAAGCATCCTTTGAGATTATCATTCATTAATGCAGCCTACCGCAAAATTAAGTGGGGGGGGGGGGGGTCACACGGATGGCTACCTTCAAGGAGAGGTGGTTGTTAAGAGACGGTCCCCGATCGCATCAACACGCATGACCCTGATTCCAAACTTGTCAAGCGCGCATAAGTTTGCTAGACACATGGGAGGATATTTATAGGAGAAGCAAAGCAGCTAATCAAAACAGATCAAAGTAAAAGTGTTTTCTATTTGTTTGCTGAGTATGACAAGTAAGGTTATGCCAAATACTTACTAACCACTAAGAGACTTAAGCACATGAGGACTCTCACTTGCACAAAGGCTATCCTGCTGTGAACAGTTTTTTTTAAACTGTATATGACCACTGTGCACAAAATGATTTTGATCCTTACTTAATTAGGGGTAATACGAAATGGTCATTTTGAAAGTGTATAGATACGTTTGAGAACCTGTCTTTTTCTTTTGCAACAACTTTTTGTACAGGATGTTATGATTGTACGTATGCATTGTTTGAGTGTTAAAATCCCTCTTTTCACAGAGTCATGCCGTCATCTAATATCATTCTCTAGTTTTGGCTTCAACTTACATTATATATGCAGTACGAGTCAAACCTCCTTTTTTCATCACTGTAGGATTAAGACAACAGTTTTGAGAGGATTTTGAGCCATCAGCAACACTTTGTTGCCTCAGAAAGCAAATCACCTCTTGGGAACTCTTTCATCAGACTAGCTAGAGTTGCTGATTTCAAGCATGAATCATTTTACCGTCATGCTTCATTTGTAAATCATGTCACATAACTGCTTGTACACTAACAACAACTGGTTCCTTAACATTTTTTCAAAAAGAGTACACCAGTCAAAAAACTTGTCGCGAGAATTTAAGCAGCGAACTTAGCGTATTTGGGCGCCCGGCTACACCCGCAGTTAGATCTTTTCGCGATTTTTTTTCAAACGACACTTTATTTACAATGGCGGGTAATGATGCAAACTTTCACCGTAATCTACAATAAAGATCGATTGATGATTCGTTTTACACTAAAACACTACGAATATTTAAAGCCAGTTTTACAAAATATTACTTAAAGGTCGACAAAGTATCTCAGAGAAAAAAAAGATATTAACAGTTAGACACAGCGTACTTACTTTTGGGACAACCTTTAAAAGTTACTACAAGACGAAGGCGGTCGCCCATGTATGCTAGGCGCGCGCGAGTGTAAGAGCTCCAATGATGAAAGATGTTTAAACACGCCGGTCGCAGCCGCTTCACGTTTTTATACCTTTGACAAATCAAGCATATCCAGCGATGAACTACCATGCCTACGGTGACAACAGGAGATATGAGCAGTTAGTGTAACTTGATTGGCTGACATACATGCATCCTTAAAGGCAGTGGCTCGGCAAATCTCAACCTAGTGAAATTTTTGCTTACTTGGAGTTATTCAACACGCTGATTTCGAAAATCCACTTCTGCAAGCTTGAAAACGGCGAAAACGAGCGTTTTTAATGCCATTTTCTTCGGAATTGGACGAGTTGAGCAAGGCTGATGGTACTGGATCGTTGCGGGACCCAATGATTATAGCATTGCGGCGAGCAGCCTCCAATGGTGAGGAGGAAATTGCCAACTCGTGCGGGAGCGTGTAAGATTGGCCTGCGCGTGTAAGTTTGAGAGCCATTTTCTTGGCAGGGAAGGCATGCTGTGCAACCAGGATTGCACTGTTTTCATACTTGCGCGATAAGGAACCTATTGCGTTAGAATCCTGAGTTGTTGAGTTTTGCCAATCCACTGCCTTCAAATTCTTTGCGAAAACTTTTGAACATAAAACGTAAATGCCAGCTAGAGCTGCAAAAACAACGTGATTAACTGGCAAAACTCAGGTATGTGTACCAACTTCGTGCAAGGTTTTTGATTGTGGCCCTTTCAAAGAGTTTTACTAACAATAAGAAAAACAAGGGCTCGATTTTTTTCAGTGCCATCGTTGCAAATATATCATAAAATTAACTAAAATTTGCCTTTACCTTTTCACACATACGGATTTTTCGCACGGTGCAGACAAGGCGTGTATAGCATCAAGGACCTAGTCTGAGAATTCATAACTATACTGGCTGGCATAATTGTTTTGAAGCATCTGCTAAACGTAGTTGTTGGAAGTATTTCGCAGGCATAGCAACATCATCATCAACTGCTGTTTCGCTCCACGATATGAGCAGCTCCTCGAGAAGGATCAGCAGGAAGCGTTGTTGAATCGGTTGACCAGCAGGGCGGCTCGATTTGAACGCACATCAGTGCGACTCGATTCTTTGTCGTAAATGAAAAACAATTACGGGTTTTTTATAGAGCTGGGCCACTTGCTGCATACAAACTTAGTAGCTTGCCTTCAATGGCCAACCCGGAAAGTCCTGTTGTAGTGGCATGAATAAGGGTACAGGACTATATGTCGCCGTTAGGTTCCACTCCGCGCTGGCAGCTGATACAAATCTGTATGCCTGTAGTGTGTGGAGGTGCGTGCTTTGTCGCAGATGTCCGCGTGGGACCACCCACTTCCGGTAACAAGTCCTCCACCCGCATGAAGAGCACTGGCAGGACGGAACGAAAAGGCTCGTTGCGAATCTGCCTTATCTAACAGAATAGTTCGTATTGAAATAATGGAAGTTTGGTTCTTTGCAGTATGTTTAAATATAACTTCAAACAATCTTAGCACAGTTGTGATATGGTATACGAACTTCGCAGCTCGTATTGTTCTTTTCTCCCTCATATAGAAACTCATCACATCCTGGTAGTTTAGTCATACTTTGCCAGTTGCAAAGCATCGATGATTTGCATCGTTTTTTACTACTGGAGGAATTCGCAGATGTTGGCATCAGATGTGAATTGCTCATGGTTTTTTAGTTACCAGTAGGATGTCGCGCGCAGCTGTGGCTCGATGATGTGATCGTACGCATATAAGTAGCTGACAGTGCACACTCAGAGTTATTCACTTGTACTACTTTTGCTCATTTGCTTTAACATTATTCACTCACATATCTTGCCTTCTTCCAATCATAGCATTCCTATTTGTAGTTCATCATTTAATAGTATATTTTGTTATTTGTTCTATCCGTGTTTGTTGTTGCTATTGGTTTCCTATGATAAAGTTTAATTACCCAAGTTTGAGGTGTGCTCGTGTTGTCCAACGCTCAAGACCCGCGTGGCAGATAATCTTTGTGGTTGTGGTTCACAAGTGGTATTCGAAGCCTTATAGTTCTGACTATATCCCAACCACTAACCAATACAACTGGTGCATCGGCCGAACTAAGAAGGTACACATTATTGCGACAGAGACAGCTTCCTTTGCTTTGCTTGCACGTCAGAGCTACAATTGAACAATAGAGATTTACCTCGCAGCTTATTTATCAGCACTTACATCATGACGACAACAATAAGAGCATACAAAGGACTAGTGACAAAAAGGAATGATGTGGCACTGAACTGGCTACAAGAGTCGGCTCAGCTCCTTCAAAGGATAGAACAAGGAGGCGTAGCAGCGCAACGCGAACGAGCCAAGGAGATCACGATGGACATCACCACATGCGAGGAGTACATAGAACTTCTGGAAGCTTCAGTAACCAAGTTAACGAAAGCCTTCGACGGTCTACAAGACGCCACCGACGAAGAAGAAGATCAACTAGACAAGTACGTGGAGAGCGCACAAGGAACAATAATGAAGCTGCATGCACACCGGTCCCAACTGAGGAAGTGGCAGACTGACATCACGGGAAACACGCATAGAACGGGAACCGATTTGGCAAGTTCTGTGGCAGTCAGCAAGCTCCCTGTGATACCCATCCCTACATTCACGGGGAAGAAATGGGAATGGGACAACTTCTGGGCTTTGTTTAAGGCCAATGTGCACGACCAGGAGTTAACGGAACTCCAGAAATTCAACTACTTGCTTTCTTCTCTGAGTGGAGAGGCGAAGCAATCAATATCTCGATTCTTCGTTTCGGCAGATAACTACGAGAAAGCCATTCAACACCTTGCCAAACGATACGGAGATAAAAGTGGCATTGTACGACAGCTGAACAGGAATCTGAAGAGCTGTTCAGCAAGAGGACCAAGCACATTGGAGCAAAGACAATTGTGGGATAAGCTAGCAGCAATAGCCAATCAGCTGGAAGAACACGAGCAGCACTTGGACAACGAACTAACAATCGACACTTTTCTGGAAAAATTCCATGTACGCATACGAAGAGAAGCAATGGACAAACAGTTGAGGAGCGAAGAGGGAAATAAACAAGAATGGACACTAAACCAATGGTTGGACGCCATTGATGAAGCCATTTCACGAGAAGAACAACTAAACGACAGACTCTCGGCAGAATCGCAGCAGATCAAAACTCCGGCACCGACAAACGTAAGAAGAGGCAACGTGTGCGAGTGCTGTGGAAGCAAAGGACACAGGTGGACAACCTGCCCACAAATTCCCACAGCAACGCAAAAGAGGAATTTTTTGCTGGAGTCCAACCGATGTCTAAACTGTGGGTCAAACAATCACAGAGTAGCGGCATGCTTTAGCGGCAACTGCCGAAACTGCAACAAAAAACATCACACTGCGATATGCTCAGAAAAAAGGCCAAGTGAAATGACACAAAGCAGACCACCTATCAGTCAACAGAAGAAGCCGGAGGGAGCGAGAACACCAAAAAACCAGCCGACGACAGCTGCAAAATCCTACAGTTCTTCGAAACAACATGCGGTAACGGAGACACTCGGACAAGACACTCATCTCACAAAACAAGGAGTAACGAAAAGTGCCGACTCTCCAACCGTACTACAGCTAAAGAAGAAGAACGATTGGAAACAAAGTAGGGTAGTTCTACTTACGGGAGCAGTACAAGTGCTTGACGCCGATGGAAACAAAAGAGAAACAATCGTCTTATTGGACACAGGCTCGGAACTCTCATTCATTAGAGAGCAGCTCGCGAACGAGCTCAACTTGCCAACGCTAGGTACAACTTCCCTCGAGCTCAGCACATTCGGGTCATCATCACCGAAAACGAAAAACTGTGCGTTAACGCTTTTGAAGATGGTGGACAAGGAGGGTACACAGCATGAGCTGCAGCTGTATAAGAACGACTATATTACAAGCACCGTACAACGAGCGTGCCTCGATCACGAAGATTTGCAGTTTATCAAGAGAGGAAATTTCGACTTGTCTTTGCCGATAGAAGGTGGAGAGTTGCAGCCGCAAATTTTACTGGGTTGCGACCATCTCTGGAACTTCATGGAAACAAGCAACAAACTGAGTCTACCATCTGGACTGCAGCTGATACCAACGAAATTAGGGTACATCATCAGCGGACGACAAGGAGACATCCCCACGAAACGGTCGGTATCGTGCACTCTGCAAGGATATGAAATCGAGAAGGAGACATGGGATCGCTACTGGTCTTTGGAATCTGCTGGCACAGAAGAATTTACTGGTCCACAGCAAACGGAACTGCAACAAATAAGCGAAAAAGTGCTGGAAAACTTCAAGAAGTCTATCGAAAAGAGAGAAGATGGCTATTACGTACGCCTACCATGGAAGGAGAATCACCCAGAACTCCCAGACAACAAGGCACTAGCAATGAAACGCCTCGTTAGAACTCTAGAAATGTACCAGGGCGATAAGGAAATGTTGCAGGCATACGATAACGTCTTCAGCGATCAACGTGACAAGGGAATAATCGAAGAAGTAGCACCGGAGGACGCTGACAATGGAGAAGTGATCCATTACTTACCGCACCAGGCAGTGGTCACCCCTTCTAAGGAGACGACAAAGATGAGGATCGTCTTTGACGCATCAGCCCGTTATAAGGATTGTCCCTGCCTCAACGATGTGCTCCATCAAGGTCCTCTTATTTTGCCTGATCTTGTCGGAATCTTGCTTCGATTTCGAATTCCGAATATCGCAGTGATGTCGGATATTGAGAAGGCATTCCTACAAGTACGACTGCAAGAAAAGGATCGTGACACCACACGGTGCATCTGGGTCAGGAATATCTCACTCCCACCCACGCCGGACAACATAGTGATCTACAGGTTCACCAGAGTTACCTTCGGACTCAATGCTTCCCCCTTCCTCTTGAGCGCTACGATAGATCACCACCTAGAAGCCACAGCAAGTGATGACGACATGGCCCCAGAAATAAGAAGGAATTTGTACGTGGACAACTTATTCTTTGGTGCACAATCTTCAAACGAAGCACTTTTGAAGTATGCAAACACAAAGAAGCTCTTCCAAGATCTCAAAATGAACTTGAGGGAATTCTGCTCCAATGACAAAACCTTCTCCAACGCCATTGATGAGGCCGACAAGATGAAATCCACCTGCCCCATCCTAGGCATCGCATGGAATTCGGAGACGGACAAGTTCATTATCAAAGGCTCGATGACAACCTTGAAGGGAAAAGATACCAAGCGAACAGTCACACAACAACTTGCTTCTGTGTATGATCCAATGGGATTTCTGGTGCCTCTACTACTACCGGCAAAGATATTCATGCAGTCACTATGGAAGGAAGGATTAGATTGGGACACACCGCTTCCAGCGCAACTGCGTGATCAGTGGCATCAAATAACATCAGAAATTGCAACATTTTTCAAGGAAGTGAATAGACGAATTCTCAGCAAATCCGATGGCTACAGACTCGTCGTTTTCACCGACGCTAGCCAATACGCAATCGCAGCATGTGCGTATCTCACCTCGCAAGAAGAATCCAACATCATTATGGCAAAATCCAAACTGCCCTCCATCAAAACCTCGATGACGATTCCCAAGTTGGAGATGAATGCACTGACGCTGGGCGTAAGAATGTCTTGCTTTATTTGTGAAATGTTGGAACCATCCTGCAAAATCAAGGAAGTGATTCTATACACAGACTCGGATATCGTGTTAGGGTGGATAAGAACCCCTCCATCGCGACAAAGCGCAGGCATTTTAGTCACAAACCGATTATCAGAGATTAGACGAATCAGCAATGATCTCCGCAGTCAAAGCACCACGTGTCTCTTCGGACACGTCTCAACGGCAGAAAATCCAGCCGATTGCGGAACAAGAGGACTATCAGCAGAAGCTTTACAGAACCATATCTGGTGGACAGGACCTGAATTCACCAACAAACCGGATCATTCAAAGCTGAGTACGGTTGCTGATTTCGAACAATCGACAATGATGTCAGTGGAGGCAGTAACTCTAAACTCGTCAGAAGAGGTATCTAAGGACGAAGTGATCGACTTGAGCAGATACAGCACCCTTGAGAAAGCTCAGAGAGTGCTAGTGTATGCACTTCGATTTATAAACAGATCCCTGAGTCATTTTCCCCACGAAAGAAGATTGGCAATACAACAACACATACCGGCTCTCAAGGAAATTCCACCGTCACAAACCATCACCGGGATCGAGATGCACGAAAGTCGAATGTGCTTGATTCGAGACCATCAGAAGAACTATGTGAACGAGCATCAGATCAAGTCGCAGAAGGAACTGAATATCCGACAAGACGAAAAAGGAATCCTGCGCTGTTACGGGCGTCTACAACAAGCAGATGTACCAGTAACGGCAAAAACACCAATCTACATTGCACCCAAAACTATGTTGGCACGTCTAATCATCTCGGAAATTCACGGTCATTATCACCGCGGAGTTGCTCATACCATGGCCGCCGTACGCGAAACGTATTGGATACCCAAACTCAGACAGCAAGTGCGAAGTTGGATCCAAAAATGTGTCCCATGCCAAAAGATGAACAATCTTCCTTTTATCTACCCTGACATGGAGGCATTACCAGTGACAAGAGTGCACCGTACGCGTCCATTTGAGCACATAGGACTGGATTATTTTGGACCTCTGATGACCAGTGACAACCATGACGGATCCAACAAGGCATATTGGTGCATCTTCACATGCCAAGTAATGCGACTCATACATTTAGAGCTCGTGGATAATATGACAACCGAGGCATTCCTAAACGCACTGAGAAGATTTTTCGCAAGAAGAGGTGTACCGCAGACTATCACCTGTGACAACGCACCAACATTCTTGTTGGGAGAGCAAATCTTGAAGGACGCCACAGAGAATATGGTGCACAGCGCGGAAGTAGAAAGCGAAATAGCCAGGCGAGAAATTAAGTGGAGCCATATAACGCCTTATGCACCGTGGCAGGGTGGATTTTACGAGAGGCTTATCCGCTCCATCAAAAACTCGCTGTACAAAACGCTTGGAGTACGCACCGTCACCTTTGACTGCCTCAGGACGATGCTAACAGAGATAGAAGCGGTTTTAAATTCACGACCTCTGACCTATCAGGAAGAAAAATGGGAAGAACAACCACTACTCCGACCAATAGACTTTATCCAAAACAAGATAATTTTGGATTGCCCTCTGGAGTACATAGGCAGAGAAGGTCAAGACAAAATGTACCACACACCCGAAGAAGCACAGCAGTTGGCAACGCAGCGTCAAGCAGAAGCAGCCCTGAAGACATCCATCGACTTAGCCGAACGATTCTGGAAAATTTGGAGTGAGCAATACATCACTAGTCTAAGAGAGCAGCACAAAGTCCGGATGAACGAAAGGCGCGGAACGAAGAAATCACCAAGAGAAGGAGACATCGTACTTCTTTGGGACGCCGTACAACCAAGAAACACATGGAAAACAGCGCGTATAATACAAGTGGACAATTCTCCGCAGAAAACATTGAGAGAAGTTTTGGTAGAAACACCAAACAAGCGCCGTTTACGACGACCAATAAATCGAGTTGTACCTCTCGAGATTGGCAAAGAAGAAATTTCGAAAACTTCTCCACCAGAGGTACCAGCCACACGATACAATCTTCGTCCAAGAAGAGCCATCAGCTACACTGAGCAAGATCAAAAAGAACCGACGCCCAGAAATGCACCAGCATACCCTTTGTCGGTAAAATCATTGCTAACGGTAACGCTACTCTCGATGTGCATAATGGGAACGACGGGAACGAACATCAACGGCAGTTATCACCTTCAATGTATCGAAGGAGGAGTATCTCTACTGCAACCAAGTCAACAGCCCTACGAAATCTGTGCAGAAGACTTTTGCTTGGAGTTCAAAGCACCTCGCCGACAGGAGTTAGTGAAATTTCCTCCACAAATCACTCTGCACGAACAACTCGTGAGATGGAAAATCTTTGATGGAGAAGAGGTTCATATGATGGAAACCACCTGCAAGGCAGCACCTTTTTGCAAACAGATAGACTGCACCTTTTGTGCAGTAATGGTGAGCAACCCAGAATGCTGGCCACGCACTGCCATTATGGTCACCGGGTTGTTAATATACTTGATAATAACTATGTGCTACTGCCTATTTCATGTGCCGGTGTTGATCGGAACTCCGTTACTCTATGGACTGAAGTTAGTCGGCACAGGCGGATGGTGGACATTCAAGATACTATGGCATATGCTGAAAATGGCAACAGGCACATATCGACGTCGAAGAAGAAGAGCATGGATGAGAAACGTCGTTCTTTTAACAGTGCTCTGGAACAGTGGTCTGACAATCGGATGTCAAGATGTCGACGCGCTGACGCATCATACTCAAGCATGCACACAACTTGGAGACGAGGAATACTGCACAGTTGACACCACAGAGGTACTGAAGATCAACCCATTCAAGCAAGAAGCCTGTATGAGACTTACAAGCAATCAGACCAGTATCCTGGAAATCAAGCTAACGTGGAAGAACCTTAATTTGTTTTGCGAAAAGGAAACTCTCATGTATTCCAGGAGCACTAGATACGCACTTCTGGATAGCAAACGCTGCCCCCATGCCGGATCATGTACAGGAGAAAAATGCGCAGGGATACACCGGACATCAAAGGTAGCAGAATTGCAGCGAGTCAATGACTACCCTGGTGTCACTGGATGTGTCGAAAGCTGTGGAGGACCAGGCTGCGACTGCTTTTATCCAAGCTCGGGATGCCTATTTTACAGAATATATCTTGTTCCCACGGATGACCATGTGTACGAGATCTTCAGATGCCCACGCTGGAAGCAGTCGGTAGAACTACGACTTATCGTAAACGAGCAAGGTTTCTTGCAGCGAACCCACAACTTTCATGTTATCCCGAATCAACCGAGAAACATATCACCGTTTACAATCACCCTTTCGTCACTGAGCACGCCACCTACGCCAGCATTGAACTCAATCTTTATCACAGATGGGAGGCGACATGCCATTATGGAAGCACACCAGGAGCCGCCGCTAGTATGTAGAACATGGGAAGACGCGCGGAACCTTACTTGTGATGTGTACGAAGACTGCAAATGCACAGCTGCCGAAATCAAGATGATGTGCGACTGCAAGGAGGTAAATCTCACTTCCTTGATCAGCACCCCACGACGCAGACTGCCGATTATACGACCTAATCTCGAATTTCGCATCATCGATGAAAGGATCACAGCTCGCATACCACAGCTGCCAACCGCTGAATTTATACTCCGAATGAGTGGCAAAGTTCGCACCATGTCTTTGAGATCCGACGCCACGTGCACTATTGCGAACGCGTACTGTACAGGATGCTACAATTGTGCGAAAGGCGCAACAGCATTGCTCACGTGCATAGCTTCGGTAGCGACAACAAAAGCCGAAGTCCAATGTGAAGACAGCCTTTTCGTCATCCCATGCAGTAAGGAAGGAACGGAAAGCAATATCACGTTTATCGCTGATAAAGCACAGTTTCACAGGAACTGCACGGTACAATGTGGAAAAGCGCAAGCTGCATTTGAGATCTCAGGCATTCTTCACTATACCGGTAACCTGGATATGGCGGCGAGAAGAGTACTGCAAGGAGAAAGCGAACTGTTTTCCGAGATCAATTTACCCGATTTCACGCACTTAGCGCAGACTTTCCTGATGTGGGGCAGTGTATTAGGAGCGACAGCACTAATTGTAATAATCGCCTTGTTGATAACGTACTTCTACGCCTCCAACACTTGTGTATTCTCGGTCATTAGAGCCCTCTGTGGATTACTCTATGCACTGGCTAAATTGGCACATCGAATGGTTCGACTCTCCTGGCTGTTACCATACCGATTTCTTCGAATGCTCTGTTCACTCAAAAAGAAGAAACCAGAAGAAAAGGACTTGTGAGATCACCAGAGATTACAGCCACAGCGACAGCACAGCAATGACAAACTAGCCCGTCCCGAACTCATTGGTTAGGCCGGAGTATACGAACTTCGCAGCTCGTATTGTTCTTTTCTCCCTCATATAGAAACTCATCACATCCTGGTAGTTTAGTCATACTTTGCCAGTTGCAAAGCATCGATGATTTGCATCGTTTTTTACTACTGGAGGAATTCGCAGATGTTGGCATCAGATGTGAATTGCTCATGGTTTTTTAGTTACCAGTAGGATGTCGCGCGCAGCTGTGGCTCGATGATGTGATCGTACGCATATAAGTAGCTGACAGTGCACACTCAGAGTTATTCACTTGTACTACTTTTGCTCATTTGCTTTAACATTATTCACTCACATATCTTGCCTTCTTCCAATCATAGCATTCCTATTTGTAGTTCATCATTTAATAGTATATTTTGTTATTTGTTCTATCCGTGTTTGTTGTTGCTATTGGTTTCCTATGATAAAGTTTAATTACCCAAGTTTGAGGTGTGCTCGTGTTGTCCAACGCTCAAGACCCGCGTGGCAGATAATCTTTGTGGTTGTGGTTCACAAGTGGTATTCGAAGCCTTATAGTTCTGACTATATCCCAACCACTAACCAATACATATGGGTCGAATGGCAGGGTGACCTCGTTTTGAGGGGAGTCATCGAAAAGCAAATGGCCTCGATGTAGATATGTGTGTGCCGGTCCAGTCAAGCATACAGCTAAGGGTGTTGAGACCATGAAATCGCAGCATTACACTTGTTACACTTGAAAGCAGCCTCCACATAGATTTCTCTCCTATTTTGACAAGTTGAACGAGTGTCCGGCTCGTGGCTTGATAGCACTTTCGCGGTTTTCATGTTCATTTTCTCATGTTAGAGGCCACGCTAAAGGACCGGACCAACGTGGATGCCTTCTCCTAGAGCCCTCTTGTAAATTAGGTACTGGACTGGTTTGTCAGATTTTACCGGACTCTGCCTCTAAGCGTTTTTTGTTGTGATCGATAGTTGATGAAAGGTGTTGGATCTTTTTATATTGCTGCAATGTGCAGGCGTTCCGCCAAAGCGCTCAAACTGTAAAGTCGACTGCACGAAATCGCCCATCCACTGTAGGCAGAATGCGCGCGGACGTACCTGCGGCCGCAGATTACGCGCGCTATGATGACTTCTCCACGCGAATTTCATTGTTAATTTGCAAGAGACACGCTCGCGGGCGAGTCCTTGCAGTCAATTATACCAAAAATGTGTCGAACAGTGCTGAAAGTGTTCCATACGCATTGCGGCGGCGGAGGGTATCGAGGGCGGGAGATTTGTGTATCGAGGGCGGGAGATTTGCTAATACACATCCAAAACACAGAGGTGTTTTGCATGTGTATTAGCTTCATCGTAGGTTCTGATTTGAATGCATTTTAGCGCTTTGACGTTGTGCGCTGTGACGGGGAAAGCTCCAAACCTGACGCTGATTCAGGTGAGAAACGTCACTATGCTCACTCGCGTATTCTTTCCTTACGTTTGCCAAAGATTTTTGCTTGGAAAGCCCTTACATCATGAAATGCCATCGATTTTGAACACAGAACAAGCAGAACGGCATGAAAGTTTTTCTGTGTTGAAAATACACTCAATTCTCTCAGACGTTTTATCACTAATTTACTCTCCCTCGAAACAAAGGAACTTGGATGGTCCAGATCGTAGCTCAATAACCCACTTGTCGCCGATAAAGGGCTAACTTGGTAGCATGCTGATTCGCAAGTTCTGTAAAGGTTCGCTTGCATTCAGTATCTTCTCGAGATGAAACTTGTTTGCGCTCCTGCAAAGAACATTGAATACGGTTTACTTCTTGCCAATCTTATGTTTCACAAAAGATATACCAAAAATTTTTTGAAAAAGCTCAATGTGAGTTCATTCGAACAAACTCAGCTGGTTCATAAAATACCCCTATTTCGACGCCTTTAGAGACGTTACGTCTAAAAGATAACGGTGACGAAGAAAAGAAGGAGGAGGAGGGAAAAAATTGCGTTATTTGAAATCTGCATTTTTTACTGCGAACACTGCTTTTGATGACGGAAAATCAAAAAAAGTATTTATAACTATCTCTGAATATGAATTGTCTTAATTTATGCGTTGATTCATAGATGAGGGATGGCGAAAACCATTGTTGAGTATCAAGTGATGATTCAAATACTTAAGTTGAACAATAATTTAGAACGTTGAAAACACGCCATGATTTACTTGCTGCTTCACGATCTCGTATATTATGTTGGGCGGAGACAATTAATCTAGACTCCCACCAAGCTAACAACAATTGAAAGGTGGCTGTTTTGATTCCAATCAGTCGCGAGTATCGTAATAATTAGTCTTGGTCATTGTAAGTAAAGATGTCGAATTTCTAGAGGTTTGAGTCACTGCAATTCATCTATCAAATATAAATCGTCCCATATCCCTTACCACTATTGAAATATACATGGATCAACCTTCAAACTTAAGCAATGCTTCCTATCCTCAACCTTCAAAAGCGATAGATGTGGAGATGTGCTTGCGCAGTGTAGGAGAAGTTTCGGACTTCAGTAGGTGAGTTGACCCAAGCTTCAACATCTGTTCATGTGCCCTTGATTGACCTATTGGGGAATTGTATAAAACACAATGTTTTTCCCAGCACGTGTGTATGTCTTATGCATGTATGTCCGTATATATTAGGTTATCCGGAACTAATGCAGGTTCTCTACGCGATCGCAGCAGTGTTGATGTAAGAACGTTGGAAACTTAGTATTCGATAAAGCAAGCAAGCTCTACAAGAATGCATTCAAAGATTTAAGGATTGCAGGTTGTTTCATGCGAAGTGCGAAGTTTAAAAGCAAGATCCAATTAAGTTCAATTACCAAAATTCAGATCTCCTTCCAAAAAATTTCTTCGGACTTCCAACTCGGTCATGCAAACATTTTATACATCAAAGGATTGAACACTTGCTGCATTTTACAATGGCTGAAAATTGAAAACTGAAGATGGACCAGAATGGAAAAATTAGGGCTCGGCACAGGTTATAAGCAAGCTGGATATCGTTTTTGGGACAAAAAGTAAAGGGGATATCGTTTTTCGGCTGAAAAAACACAACTTAGGTCACGTTTTTTACTTGACTTGTTTTGTTTTTTGAGGTTTTTTTACGTTCATGGTTTAGGTCAAAGGGGTCTTCGTAAAATTTTGGGATAGTCAAGGAGGACCTCGTTTTTGCATCTTCGGAAAGCCACCCGTGCCGAGCCGTGGCAAAAATATTGCTTTTTTTGGGTTCTTTATGTCATCATTGATATCCGGAAACTAGCCCTTGCAAAAAGCAATTCCATATTTGCACTTCCAGGGTTGTAGTATGAAATTACCTTTATCAGAGTAGCCGAGCATTATAGAACAAGTGAACATGACTTTTATTTTTCCAGCTTATAACCGTTGAAAATATATAGCAGTCTTCTAGACTAGTCTTGCTTTGCTCTCTGTAGGATATGTTTCCCACATTTTTATATTTACACTGCCACGATCGCGTAAGGACCCTGCATTAATTTCCGGACAAACTGATACTGTTCCGTGTAGTTCATGTCTAAATCGATCCATAGCAAACTTTGCACAGTCACTTGGAGGTGGAGGGGAGGGGGAGGGGGAGTTATGGGCGAATTTCGTCAATGAATGTTAGCTTTCAACAAAGTGAGCCAGGATTTCAAAATTGTAATAGGGTAGTTAAGTGCTGACTACGAAGAGAGTAATCATGAAAATTACCTACTGTGTTTGATGAATTTATCTTTTTAACAACTGTGAAAGTAAAATAACAGGAATGCCATAAGAAGAAGTGAGCTTACTGCTCACAGGAACGCGATCGCGCAAGGAATTGAACGGGTAGAAGTCTGACAAGGGAATTTGCACAAAAAAGGCTATAGCGAGTTCTTTATGGTATACTGAAAGGGACAAAGCTGCTGCAGATAGGGTTTTTTATGGATTTTTAATACACATATACATATATCTACATACATATATCTACATACACTTTCCGCTCATGAACCACTGGGATATTTTCGCTCAACGCCCTAACTTAGTATCTTACTCTCTTCTAACATATGGATTTTACTGGGCTCAAGGCTTTCGCCCGCAGGCTCGCTGGCACCCAAAAAAGGGATCATTATACATTACGAAGAAAGCAAGACTCTTAAGTATGAACTTTCTTTTCTGATATTCAGATTCTCTTTAAGCAAACACATACATGTGTTAGTTAACTCGGAGCACTTTGGTTTATTTTTCTTTTCACATACAATATCCCTGTATTTGAGACTGGCTGCTCAGATAATCGCCGGGGGCAGGCGGCCATGCGAATTTTGAGCAAGCGCGCACCGGAAAAATAGTTCGTTGATTTTTTGCCGCCCGCTTGCAGAAATTTGGAAGAAAATTGGCGAAATTAACGACAAATGCTTGAAGAACAATCGCGGTTTCTTTATGGATCAGCTGCAGCGCAGTGGCCGCATTCTCGCGGACTTTCCGCGAGAATATGCAAAATTATTGAGAGCCGCACGGTCCTTTTTGAAGGACCGCACAGCCCTCAGGTACTTTCCGCTGAAAGAAAGTACCCCAAACTTGGGTAATAAAACCATCGATGGCACCTCTGCCACATAGAGTCTCATCTTTTCTCGGCGTACGCCCGAAACCGCGTAAAAAGAGTCCGAGCGCCTGCTGAAAGTTTGGCCAGCGCTCGCTGAAAGAGATTGTTTGACGAGCGCTTGCAGAAAATTTTGTATTGATGCCCGCTTGCAGAAAACGGAAATACCGCCCGCTGAAGATTTGGCCACGCCCCGAAATCCTGCTGACCGCCTGCAGAAAAGCGCGAGTTTGCGGACCGCCTGCCCCCGGCGATTATCTGAGTGGTACTCAGCTTATTCGAATTTGCTTTTCTTTTCTTTAAAGGTGCATCATGGGTGTATTTCCAAATAAATAAATAAATAAATAAATGGACAAATAAATATCTAACCATGGGAATTCATACACGATCAAGAACGCGTAATCAGTGCCATCGTTCTAAGCTCATAACATTTCACCATTCTTAGTCATTTCAGGCCACTTTTGACAGCATTTATATTGTTTTTTGCTCTTTTTGGTGCTATCAGCAATATTCTCTTGCTTTATGGATTTGTGCTCAATTGGAAGAAATTTTTCAGAAGTCAGGTCAGTCAGAAAAACCATTGTTTCAATAATTTTTTTGCACTATCTAACAAACTCGGCGTATATTTTCAGCTTTTCACTTTCTTCGTGCTCAATATGATTTTAGCAGGCTTGATCTATTCCACTACGAATTTATGGGTATCAGTCCCCTGCACACTGAATAAGTGCACGTTTATTAGGTACTGGTGAAGTTTCTTATTTCGGGCATTTTCTCAGAACGCTTTGTTGCTTGTAGTAAAGAAAATAAATGAAAGTGAGGTGGCGATGTTTGTTTTTCAGATCTGATATAATGATGATTGCTATGGCTACACAAAATACCTTGGGGTATTGGGCATATCTTTTCTCCTCGGCCGCTCTAACAACATATAGGTTTGGTATTTATGTATCAAAATACTTCGAAAAAAGGAGAAACTTGATAAAGGTATGTCAAAGTGCAGTCATCAGATTATAGTACTAACCTCCTGTAATAAGTTCGCAAACATATGTGAAAAAATGGAAGGGTTAAACTTGTCTCTTTTGCGAATGTGCTTTTCTATGAGTATTATTATCCGTAATCTATGCGAATAGGGCATTTTCTGTGTATCAACGTAGAATAGGTAGTAAAACTCGGCAATTAGTGAACTTGCACGTCAATAACTTCTATTGCATCTAAATAACAATGGCCAGACAACGGTAAAGCACTGATGAAAAGGAAATTCAGACTGTGCCGTAAGAACAGATGTTAGCCATGATAAGTTTTCGGAAGTACTGAGCGTAGTTTTGTTGGGACCTGCAAAGTGTGTTTAAATTTCAGAAACGAGACATGATATTCTCGGTATTTTCACAAATTTTCGATAACTTTTCATAGTAATCGACAAACAACTTGTATTTAGCGGAATTTGTATGTTAAAACGGCATCTAGAGGCGTGGAAAGCCATGTGATAAGTGCGGCAATGAATTCTCATCAAATAAAAGTCAAAGAGTTGAAAGTTTGATGTACTGTCTGAATTCTCTGTTTCTGCATCCAACGATATGATAAAGATTTCAGTTGATGATTTTGCTTCCGGGTAGGGTTATAAAAGTGATCTTTGACCATAGCCACGAAGCCACTTCTTTTTCCATACACTCTTGTTTTCATTGCAGTTCCAAAATCGAAATATGAAATTTTATTAAGGAGTTGTTGCCTCTTCAAGAAATAAATATGCTGTATTTTTCGCTCTCAGCTGCACTGAAGTTTATTACGTTCTAATAAATGATAGTTCACGGAATCCTCAAGCATTCACTCAACTTAAATAAAGACCCTATTTTTTTACGCCTTTTCGGCAGCCGGCGGAAAGTGCTCGGATATATTTGGCTCCATTTCTGTGATATTCTCATCATTGGGTAAAATTCATCTAAAGGGGCCAAGGCCGCTTAGTGATCGCACACTACGCGCGAGCGCTACCGTCAGCAGCAGCGTGCAGGGACCATGCCACGCAAAGCGGCGTAGTCCTTGTTTTACATCTTCCTGCTTTTTTCTTACACTTATTCTCTGTCCTGCTTTCAAACTTCTGACCTTCTTCTGTCTGAAAGTCTACTTCAGTACTTCTTAAAATCCAAAGTATCATAGCGCTGAAAGACAAAGGAGGTCTTGGGGCTTTCAAGAGAATGTATTCTATATTATTTCATTTGAGAACTGTTAATACGACTGGCGCTTTTCCTCCTTACCCAAACTACAAGTGAATATCGTAATGTGTAATAGTTTATCGCATAGGTTGAGTGAACGGTTCGATGAACCGCATCTTGGTGTCCGTTGGAACACGAGTCGATGTAACGAATAATGACATCCAAACAAATACGAAGAAGGTGGATAAAATGAGAAATGCCTCTATAGGGAAAACGCTCAAAGGATTGATATCTCCCCTCCCCATTTGCTGCGAAAATCGTATCGCGAATCAAGGCAAATTGCAGATGAGCCTAGAAACAAAAAAAATGACAATGCGCTTTTAAAAACGAAAAATACAATATATTAGGTTGTTCCATAAGTTCGTAGCGTTTTTATAAACCAACAAAATCATCATTTTACAGTAAAAAAAACACTCAAAACTATATTCCTGGTTACAGCGCACAAACTTTTGGCACATTCTTGTTAGCTTTTCAACCTCAATTTTTCAAACGGCAGCGCGCCAGGTCCCAAGAAAGTCATCTAACCAGCGCTCAAGTTGCTTACTGAAATCGAGACATGCACAACTCATGAGGTTTGCCAGAGAGCGGAGCAAATGATAATCTGGTAGAGCGAGGTTTGGAGAGTATTTTGGGTGCTGATGTACCTTCCAGTCGAATCGTGCAGGAGAGTTTTGACGACGTTTGCCGTATGAGGCCATGTTTCATCATGCAGAAAAACTCACTGGATTTGTCTGTTAGGCTTTCTCTGCGGTATTACCTGGTTTAAACCGTGCAGTTGGATTGCTTATGGTGTGGTTGACTGTCGCCTACTTGTTCAGCAATTTTCAGTGCAGGACGTCCTGCCCGTCCCCCGAAAAGTCTTGTTCAGGGACATCCTGCTCAGCTCCTGCTCTTTTGTATACCAATTCTTTTTTGCCTTATATTGATGAACAAACGCCACGTTACATAATCGACTCAAAAATCTGTGCAAAAACGCTTCTTTTCATAACGAAAAAGGCGCAAATGCCGAAATTGCTCCTTTTTGCCTTTCAAGATTTCCATCTTTGGAAGCTGCGAGATCCGAGTGAATCAGCTTTCCACCGAAATCAGTAGATGTATTTCAAAGAGCACAATCAGCCCTTCCAAACGATATATGCATTCCGCCGCAAATCAACCGCTTCTCAAAGATATGAGTACGAAAATGAAAACGCTACGAACTTATGGAACAACCTAATACAATGATGAAAACAAAGCCCGCGATGTTGTGCGCAGCATGGCCCGGCACGCTGCGTACGGTGGCATCCGCGCATACATGGACTGCACTACGCATCCCTGGTTGTAAAGGCTCCCTGAAACTGCGAAACATTAGCTCTCATGTTTGATGTGTTTCACAACTACAGCTATTTCTTTTGCAATAATAAGAGGTCCTTTTGAGGGTTTTTGAGGGTATGGAATTATCGATTTAGCGCGTTTATTCTTCACCTTCCTAGCCAGTGTTGTCACATCTTAGAAGAGGTTTTTGATAACGATCTTCCCTTTGCGCTTCCTATTACGACCACAAGTCGGGCATGCTGACCCCCACGCTTAACCCCAGTGATAAGTATAGAGGGCAAAATAAGCTTCGCCGAATTTGCACCGCTTCCTTGAAACAACCACTGAGGAACATGAGTTCAAATTTATGTCATGTAATGCACCAGTCAAACTCTACTAGATACATTTTTCAGAATACTAAAAGAGCTTCACACAAGAATATGAGAATAGTAGAATAAGAATGAGGCAAAAATGCCATTTTTTGCTTTTATATTAGGGTGGTGCAAAAATAATGGCCGATTTGCGAATTCTCACTTTGATGTACTACAACTTTCTAAGAGATCCACATTTTTGAATGCGGTAAAAACCCTCAGAAGCAGCAAACCTTTGCAATACAGCGCATACTCAGTTATACTCACACCATAAACGGGAAGAGAAATACGGACTAAAAGACAAAAAAGGTTCTTCTGCTAGAACCTTGTTTTTGACAATTCATAACTTCCTTCAAAGCTTGCTAGTATGAATAAGTGGCCTATCTTGTAGCCGCAAGCCAGTAGTACAAATTACAATAAAAGGGATTTGGACAAAAAAGTTTGCGAGAAAGAAAAAAAATAATTAAAACTTCTAAGTTTTTTTCAACATTTTTTCAGTGTGCGTCAAAGTCCCAAATATAGATTTTTCTAATTTTCTACGTACTGAACAGCTGGATGTTTTTGCAAAAACCGCTAATAGGATGTCCTAGCCTTACGCTTACAGAATTGAGCAAAACTTTAGCGATTGACATCTTTAGAAGAAAATTATGCTTTATAAAATGACTGCAACAGCTAATTATTTTTAGGCGCCGATACCTCAGTCTGAATAGCTTCAAATAATACAGTTAAGTATGCATAATGTAGAAAATTTTTATTAAATGCAATAGCTGAATTTTCGAAGAAATGCCATTGATAAGCCCTTGAATTCTGGGCAGAAAAGTGAAGCCAATGAAATTCTGAATTTGGATGCAATTAATTGAAGCCCAGTAACTTGTTAACAGATAAGGATAGAAGCCCGCTTCAACAACCATTAGATGGAGCATGAGACCAGCTTCTCAATGGTATGTCATACGTATTTTGAAGAAGATATTCTGAGGGAAAAAAAGTTGCCCTAAAGAGAGGCTTTGAAAATCGGCCATTATTTTTGCACCAACCTAATATTAGGTTGGCTAATAAATAAGTTCGGTCGCTTTTGCGGCTCCTACAAATGCTGCCAAATTTTTGTGCAGTCTTTGGTGTATTTCTGGAAAGAGCACTCCAATGGGAATTGGACTATGATTTTTGTATGTGTAGAACTTATCTTCCAAAGAGAAAAATCCGCAAAGAAGAAAGAAATGTTTTTTTATAGTGCACAAATATGACGAATTTTGGTTTTTTGATATTTCGAAATGGCAGATCACAACTTTTATTGCTATCCGTTAAATAGGAAAAACTCCTCTTCATCCATCTACCAAACTGCTGTTCTCTGCATCCATTACAGCATGAAAACGAAGCTTAAAATGTCAAGGAATTGAGCTTTTGGAAATTTACCCATGTTGTGGCATAACTGTTTTTACTGATGATAGAAAATTCTGAATATCTTGTGACAGGGGAAGCTCTGATCTTATTTCCCACAAAAAAACGTGGATAGAAAACAATAAGAAAAAAATTTTCTTTGAAGATTTGCATGCCAAAACGAACTTATTTTTTAGCCAACCTAATATTTTGCTCTGCAACTAAATAAACGAAACTTCCCCTAAACCATTCCAAATGAGATTTTATTAGGTTGACGCATAATTCTTGCACCAAAATAGGTACAGACCGCAATAATTCGCAATAATGCTATATCCCAAATAGGAATCGATATATCATTAGATAGAGCAAACCTAGCTCTACAAGATAGTGCTTAAAGATTTGCAGCAGCTTTGATCTAAGCGAAGATTGAAGCCAAAAACCAAAAAGATCCAAGCGCCCCGAAAAACCAAGGAAAAGTGGAAGTCCGTTCAGAAAAATCCTTCAAAATTCCTAACATGCTCATGAATTGTCTTTTCGTATTCCTCTATGCAGTTGCTGTATTTTTTTCTCAGCTAGAAGTTGAGAAAACGAAGTTTTTCACGTTTTTTTTTCAAAACAATGCTGAGATGCTCTAGCACTGACAACTGTATACTATAGGACCTTGGAAGCGTGAGTGTAAATTTTCAGCTCTTTGGAGTGGCTGGTTTACGAGCAATATCGATTTTATAGCAACTAGGCAAGAAGAATTCGGATAAGGAGAGCTAGATTCGTCATTTCTCGCGAACTAGCAGTTCTAGAAGGCTAAAAATTTAAAGTTTTACTGCTAACGGCATGTATTATACAACTGGTAGTACTAGAACATCTCAGCACTAATTTGGCAAAAACATGAAAAACTTCGTTTACTCGTCGTCTAGTTGAGAAAAAAATACAGCAACCGCATAAATAAATGTCTTACGTGGAATGTCTACGCGTGAGCAAAAAAGAATATTTTTAAGAGCTTTTTGAACGAAGTTACAACTGTTTTGATTGGTCTTGAGGTTTTCGGACGCATGATTTTTTTTTTCAATTTTCGGCTCAAAACTTCGAGTGAATTGAAGCTGGTGCAGATATTTGAGAACGAGCTTGTAGAGCTAAGTTTGCTCTATCTAATGATATATCGATTCCTATTTGGGATATAGGATTATTCCAGATTATTGCGGTCTGTACCCATTTTGGTGCAGGAATTATACATCAACCTAATAGAATGCTCTTTGCAGTATCACATGGTTCTATTTGCATTCGCAAGAATTTTCATTCTATTTTTTATTTTATTTTATTTCATTTTATTTTCGCTATTTTCATTCTTTTACGAAATATAAACATGTATTTGCAAAAAATACCTGCGTACAAACAACAATCTTATTGTTCAAAATAATTGTGAGACTCCACATGTGCAGAGCTTCCTAGCTAAAAAACAAGTCTTTATCTACGAGGCATTTAGAAAAGTACCTATTATGAGCAGTTTGTTGAAATAATTTTCAAATTGATTTAGAAGACATCTTCTTATTCTTAGGCGCACTTGAGAGAGCCTAAATAACATTGATTTGATATGCTGCCTCCCAAGCATGATTTTCAGAAATAAACCCTTCTTCAAACTAACTTTCAAATATCCATGCTTATTTGTGTCAAAGGCAAAGATTTGCTTTAACTTAATGCGCAATTTTAATGCAATAGGAGAGACTTTCGGAAAGATATCGTAAAAAATTGCAAAGTTACGCCTGCGTACAGAGTAAATTTCAGTTGGCGAAAAATTTGAAATTTTTCCGAGAAATAAACAGCCAAATTTTGATTTGGCTATTGCATTACGTTGATAGTGATTGCTGAAAATAGATGCATACTTGCAGTCGAGCCCGTCTTGTATCCTTTTGGAACTCACAGAAACATGCGCAATTCATTTTGGCGCACCCTGTTATACAAAGGGTTTGGGGGAAAAGTTATTTTGCAGCTCAAAAGCAAGCTTAATCATGACAGAACTAAGGTTCCTTTTTCAATATCAGCGATTATGCAAAAAAAATTCTGAGCATACTTAGTTTTCATCAGGAAGAATTGAAGGCTTGAAACTCTATTCGAGGCTAATAATTTGTGACTTCTAGTACATGCTTCTTCAAAATCTTATTTTCGCTGCCAAAATCATTGGAGGTGAACCGTCTTTTCACATAATCGCCGGTGGCAGACGGACCGCAAACTCGCACTTTTTTGCAGGCGGTCAGCAGAACTTTTGGGCGTGGCCAAAACTTCGGCGGGCGGTGCTTCCTTTACCGTAGCATGTTCTGCCAGCCGGCAGCAATAAAGAATTTTCTGCGAGCGGTCGTCAAATAATTTCTTTCAGCGAGCGCTGGCCAAATTTTTAGCGACGCTTGTTACGCAGTATCGAGCGTACGTCGAGCAAAGGTAACACTCTATATGACAGAGGGTCATTCTTCGATTCAATTACCCGAGTTTGGGGTACTTTCTCTCAGGGTAAGGTATTTACGGGCTGTGCACTCTTTCACAAAGCGCCGTGCCGCCTTCAATATTTTTGCATATTTTTGCGGAAAGTCCACGAGAATGCAGCCACTGCGCCAAATCCATGGAAAAGCCGCGATTTTTCTGAAATTCGTCCAAAAAGTGGCAAACATTCTTTCGGATATCTGCAAGCGGACCGCAAGAAATCAGCGAACTATTTTTCCGTCCCAGCTTGCTTATAAATAGCATGGCCGGTACCCGGCACTTCTCTGAATCGACGATAGATTGGCCCAACACAAAACAGTAAAAGCACAAAGTCCATTCACAAAAGGCAAATCTGGCTCAAGCTTGTTAATATGATTAGCAAAATAGCAGAAGGTTTTTTCACTGTCTAGGAATCGAAATCTGCTACCTTTCGCAGAAATCGTGTGCTTTCGTTTCAAAAAAAAAAGAGAGTAAAGTTCTGGTGATATGAAAACTGGATGTCCTATTTGTCCGTAACATTACCGCGAATATATGTACTGAATAGGCATTGTTGTTAAAGTTTAGCGCTACTTGAATTAATCATAAAACCTATGCAAAAACTCTGCTTGGCAGTGGCGAACCGAAGGGAGAGGGGACCGAGATTGGGACGCAAAATCTGTGAAAATTACTTACATGGGTTATGAAGCGCAAGTGACTTGATTTTTGTACGTAATCGAAAAAAAATTTTAAATTTTTTAAAAATTCTAATTGGCCCCGTAAAAAGGTTCTTCCAGGGGCGTAGTTGCCGCCACGCCCTTTTTTTCTAGATTTTAAAGACTATACCCCCCCCCCCCTCCCCCCAGACGGAAATCGTGGAACCTCCGCTGCTGCTTAGATATATATTTATGCAAAAACAAATTTTTACCTTTTTCTGCCATTGGACTAGTACAAGTTATCGAGCCTTCATTTTTCCGTTATGAAAAACATGAGAAGCTGTGTTGAAGAAAAAATTAGAACCTTATTTGAACGTGTGATGTTCACTTGGTATGCAATTGATAGTCCGTATGTGAACCGTTACTCGTGCATTTACAGGTTCTGCTGATTCTTCCATGGGCTTTGTCAATTATAATCATAGTAGGCTCGACAAGTTTTGGATGCTACAAAAGATACAATCGTTTTGCACTTGCATACACGTTTGGCTGTTCAAATTGCCAATTCTTTCGTGAGTTTCATAATATTTCGTGTCACACTTTACTATATATGTTTGAGAGGGATTTTCTTACAACGACCTCAATTTCTATTCCGGTCAAGTAGTTCCACTTTTGATGGTGGCTGCGTACGCATTCATTCTCTTTAGCATTTATCACGATCGCAAAATCAATGCGGCCTTTACCAGACGACAAGCGCTTGTTGATGCCAGACTGGTAATAGATTTACGACTGGCATTGTTGCTTTGATAAACAATTCATAAAATTTCCGTTTAGGCAACACAGTTTATCATCATCTGTTGTTTTCAATATCTCAACACACTGCTGTTTCATCTGATCCCCAAGATGAGCAATAAAGGCGACTTTGGCGTCATTGTTTTGAATTGCATAGGTAAATTACTAGTCATGTGTGTGTGTGTGTGTGTGTGTGTGTGTGTGTGTGTGTGTGTGTGTGTGTGTGTGTGTGTGTGTGTGTGTGTGTGTGTGTGTGTGTGTGTGTGTGTGTGTGTGTGTGTGTGTGTGTGTGTGTGTGTGTTCCAAATTAAAAATTCTCTTTTGGAAAGATCCGGGCCAAACTTTACGCACACACAACAGGGCACGGTCGCTGCCGTAGCCGATTTTTTCGACTTTTGGAAAGTTTGAGCTAGAGAGCTGGGAGCTGGCACAGGAGTGTGAGCATGCTGGTTTCAAAAATACGGGGGGGGTACAAAATTGGGTCAGGGGCATGCTGTTCAAAGGTGAAGCGACCCGGTAAATTCTATCATGTCAAACAGGGACCGAGCGAAGCGAAGTATCCTGACTGATCTGAATAAAATGCAATAGTACTATGATACACGGAGATACTATGTGTATTAATAGCCACCCAACTCATATCCAACAGCAAAGCAATTTTTGCTACTTTCCAGGTACCATCAATGTTTCTATAAATCCGGTCGTTCTACTCCTATTCAACCAACAAGTTCGCAGTAGTATATGTGCCGTCACCAAAAAGCACCTCACTCGGCAGATAGCAGTCACCAAGAAGGCTCAAGTTGTAGGCTGGAAGAAGGATGCGAAGGAGATTGTACATCATCACGATATGTAGAAAAATTTACTATGAGTAAGTGTGTGCTATGGTTATTGTTGATGTTCTTGATTTGTGTTTTTGTCTGCACCATGCGCATTGCCCCTCAATTCATATATCTTGTTAGCCGTTCCCCTCACGTCTTTCAAGGTTCACTAATTTTAGTTAGCGTTTGAAGTGAATGAGAATGAAGTTTGAGAAGTACTTAACATTCGAAAGACAATTGCGGATCACACACAATCTGCATCTTCTTAATCAAATTGGTGCTCTTTGCATTTAGATAGGAATTGTTCGGTGGAAGATAAACATGAGGATAATGGCAAAAGATTTAATGATAATTTGCTTCTTTCATAAAATTCAGCGATCTACATTTATGTTTCCTTGAGTCACTCAATCAGGCTTTTCAGATGGAATGCGGCAAAATAGTGTGAAGAGAAGTTTCAAGTAGTAATCTTGCGAAATGTGTTCATCATGATTCAAAAAGAACCTAGCCGTGTTGTTTCAAAATCTAGTTGATATATGATTTATTCGATAAATACTTATGTTTGCTAAGTAGGAACATTTAAGGGCGCTGCTTTGCATTTTGTTACATTCACTAGCGTCAGGGTGAGGCCCTGGTCAGACTTCGCTCAAAAGCGCCCAAAAGCGCCCAAAAGCGCTCAAATCTCTCTGGTGTCTCTTCAGTTTCTCGTGTGAGGAGAGACGAGAGAGAGTGAGGAGAGGTTAGAGAAGTTTGGGCGCTTTTGCGCGCTGAGCGCTTTTGGGCGCTTTTGAGCGAAGTCTGGCCAGGGCCGAACATCACGCCGAAGCACTTCCGCTTCCGTTGGTAAAAACACGACAAGTTCTTAATCTTAAAAGTGTCGCCGGACATATGGACGCATTCACTTTGAGAAGTCTATGACTTAACACACTTTCAACAGTTTACTCCTTGCTGAGTTCAAACGCAGGATCCCAAATAGATTAGAATGTTTGGAACTAGGTTTAGCCACAGTCAGGTCTATTCGTTTGGCATACTTATCTTCATGGAGCAATATGACTCTTTCATTTTCTCCGCTTGAGGAATAAATACTTGACTTTGCCATGAATATTTTGCAAATACTTATGTTTGCTAAGTAGGAACATTTAAGGGCGCTGCTTTTTATTTTGTTACATTCACTAGCGTCCGGGTGAGGCCCTGGCCAGACTTCGCTTAAAAGCGCCCAAAAGCGCCCAAAAGCGCCCAAACGCGCTCAAAAGCGCTCAGAAGCGCCCAAATTTCCCTGGTGTCTCTTCACTTTCTCGTGTGAGGAGAGACGATAGAGAGTGAGAAGAGTAGAGAAGTTTGGGCGCTTTTGGGCGCTTTTGGGCGCTTTTGAGCGAAGTCTGGCCAGGGCCGAACATCACGCCTGGGCACTTCCGCTTCCGTTGGTAAAAACACGACAAATACCTAGAATGTTATAATCGTACCCCTTTCCACAAAAATGGCAGCTTAAATCAAAAAGGAAATCTATGCTTAAAGCTTTCAACGCCTCAATCTACAGAAGTGCACGTAATGGACGTTAGAATGAGGGTGATTGATTCGTCAGCTCGACTTGTCGTCGTTCGGCTTTGAATCAGGCTACCTGCGAATTTCAGTAACCCTCGAAACCATTTGAATGCTGTCCATGCTGCTAAACCCTTTGCGATTTCAGCTTGTTGGCTTAAGCTGTGGTTCATCTAGTGCCCTAGAGATGCGTGCGAGGACAATGTTCGTAAAAACCTTGAACAGCGTAACCAGCAATAGGAAGTGGCTTGAAAAATCCCATCTTTCCCTTTTTTTAATGGTTGAAAATTCTTTCCTTCTGAAGCTATGGTAGGTGCAATGCGACATTTCCTGAAAACGTGGTTCACGGCTCGCAAATACTTGACAGTGACATGATCTGGCCCTGGAGTTCTGGAGGTCTCTTTATGGTTTAGATCGCGGTGTGCACTTCAGCGGGTAGAATTTGCGGCGGTACGTTTTCATGGGAACAATACATTGTTACTGCTGTTGATCAGCAGAAGAGGCTGGAGCAGACGGATAACTTCCATCTCATGTTGGGAAGAATTCGGGATTCCTTCCAACAAGGGTAGAGGACATTAGCTTGCCGAAAGGGCAGTTCCCATGCGGACATTTGTAACAAACCACGCGCAGTCACCATTACTGCTCGATGCTAGCTGTCCGCGGGGCGAAGCCTATCGGAAATCTAGTGTCCTCCACCCGGCTAATAGGGCTGCGCAGGCAACGGTACGTGATATCCACAAAGGTCTGGCACCCTTACGTTGTCTTCTGCTGCTTCCAGTAACTTGGCTTCCCTGTACTTCCTGAAATGTTCCTGTAAAGCTGTTATGCAATTGACGTTGTCTATCAGTCGCTCAAGATGGACGGCATTCGAATCTTGTTTCAGGGATTTTTTACAGTAATCTCTTGGTAATTAGAAATGCATTACCAGTTCTTCTCAGAGGTCACTGAGGCGTACTCTCCGCAGGCTCGCAATCTTTTCAAAAACCCGCCGTTCGTATGATGAATCCTTCTTGATGGGCCGTTCACGACTTGATTTGTGCTTCCGGCCTATTACCGTCATAAACGACCTTCTTTCTTCTTGCGGCACCGTGGTAAACCTTCTTTTTTATTTTTTGACTTAATAAGCCGGTGTTCGGAGCCACTGCAGAAGGGTGGAACTACTGAGGCATCCAGTAAGCTCCTGCGGTTGGTAAAGATGTGGTTGATCTCAGCTTGCATAGTTTCGCAGGGCAAATTCATGTTCTATTGGCGTTGCTATGTCTTCATGAAAATGGAAGTCCTATGGAAAAGTCGCACGGTGAAAAAAAGCACAGAGGCAGGTGCCGCTTGCATTTTGCGGCCCATAAACTTTCTAATCCTTTTTTTCTTTTAGCGGCATCACGGTTTTGCATTGAGCACGACACAGCAAACGTGAAAGAAAATTTCATTGCGGTCTACCACCTTCACGTCTTCGTAAAAAGCATCTAGTTCTGGTTGCTCATGTTGGATGGTAACAGCTGGTGAACTGGTGACCGACGTAGAAAGCGTAACTTTGGGATGGCCAGTCGTGGAGATAGGATCTCATGCGAATCGACAAGATGGACGATAGAAGGGTTGACGACGAAGCCTACGCCTCCGAAGTTTCGTGATAATACTTTCTTATTACGAATTAACCCATTACCCGAATGTCGCACGTCTTTCTTCTTGGTTTTCATTTCCTACACAGTGATGGCTTGGTCATGGTATTTGCTCTGCGTAATTAAAAACAACGCGGAGGTAGGTGTTTCTGGAAGTTGCCCTTGCGTTGCAAATGCAAAGCTTAAGTCAGTCTCCATGGCTTGTCATCCCAAATGCGTTGTTCTTGTTCTGTCTAGAAGGCGCTTACAACTCGACATCGGTTCCTATGATGAATTAGCGGACAACTCAAACAATAATCGTTCAATAAATTACGACCACAACTACCAAAGAGTCTTCAACACGGACTTGTACAAACGACTACTTCAAACTTGTATAATCAAACCTTTACTAATTCTGCAATATATATTAGGTTGTACCGAAAGTTCGTTCGCACCATTCTCAAAAATTCATAACTTCTGCTTTTTTCAACCGATTTGCGTGTTTTCATTTATCTGAAAGAGCAATTTATTCTCCTCATAGCGGTATCTTAGCGGCATTCCAATGAGCATACACTGCATAGATATAAGCGGTAGAAGAGAACTAGTCAAAATTTAAATTTTCTGTGTAGTGTCATAAAAAATCGGAAACTTGCAACAAAAATCGAGGCAGTCGGTATTGTATGTTCTTTTACCAGGGCCGGTAGTAAACCTGTCGAAACGCCCAGCTCGATAATTTTATTATTTACAAGAACAAACAAGTCATTTGCACATTTTTATAACACAGTAAGTAAATTTCAAAAATGTCGCGACCCATCCCGGGGAAAGGGGAAGCCTTCCCTTCGGTCCGCCACTGTTAGATACTTACTATTTCTTCTTACTGCAAGACTATGCGATGGGGCTGCAGTAGATGTGGTGGAATAAACTTACTGAACTGCTTAAAAATTCGCCACTGAGTTTATTTGGCAGTGCAATTATGATCATGCTGTCCGTTTTCAATGAGGATTATTACGGTGGGTATATACGGAAGAGCGGCAAAAATCTCAGGTCGAGTTGAACTTTCTTAGCAAAAAAGTAATGATACCAAGGAGGTTTTTTAAATTTCTTTTTTATTGTGTCAACAGAAACCTCGAGAAAAATTTTTCGAAATTTGTTACATCATTCAGAGGTTCGAAATTCTAACAGTCGATTTACGAATGACCTGTAGACTTTGTTTACTACTTCAAGTCTATTTTCCTAAAATAATGATCTATTTCAAGATTGCAAATTATAGATCTAGGTCATTCGAAAAATTTTGGAAATTAATAGACTTTCGAACTTTATCAAGTATAATAGCATATCAAAATATGGTGAGAGGGGAGGGGACGGATTGTTAGGTTACTGTCTATGTCCATGTTTTATCCTGCTACTTTTTTAAGAATCTTTAGGATATATTATGGCTAGGCACCAGTAGCGGATTGAAGGGGGCGGGAAGTGAAACTTATCTACATGGGTTATAAGAATGTGCAAATAACTTGTTTATTTTTGTAAACAATCAAAATAATTTTTAGAATTTTTTAAAAATTCAAATTAGCCTTGTGGAAAATTTTTCGGGGGCTTTAAACCCGCAAGAATTTTGAGATGCACCTCAAAAAAATTTTCAGAGTGCGTGGCTAACGCCACGCACCTTTATTTGAAAAAAAAATTTTTTGCCGCCCCCTCCCCTCGGAACCGCTCTGAGACCGCCACTGCTAGGCACCTCACAGGCAAGCCTAACGCCTCTCCACGTGTCTTGATATGTGAGATCTTGATTATGTGGATTCACTAGACAGTTGCGGCAATTGGGCAATAGTGGCTCTTTGGCCTGGCGGTACTAGAAGTAGGCACTTCGCGCCGAGCAACGGAAGTTCGAGACCCGGCTTAATCGCAGCGTTTTGCGATGAAGCATGTGGCGGCTCCTCAACAACGAGAGCGGATCCTCAAGTAGCAGAAGAAAACTCCGAGTTT